AAGTATTTTACTCAAGAGAAATGAGAACATATATTCACAAAAATACTTGGAAAAGAACATTTATTACAGCCCCATTGATAATAGCCAGAAAGGGGAGAAAATATAAGTATCTATAAACTGATGAATGGATAAACAAATTGTAACATGTCCACACATCGAATACTACTTGACATTAAAAATAATTACTAATGCACACCACAGTGTGGTTGAATTTCAGAGACAGACGTTAAATTGAAATAAAGAAGTTGAGCACAAAAGACTCCTTCATGTATGATTCACTTGTATGAAATTCCAGAACAGGCAACACTTGCTCGAGGGTGAGATGTGAGGATGACAGAGTCCACTACAAAGTTTAAGGGAATTTCTAAGCTTATGGAAATGGTCTGTAATCTATACCTTGACAGAGATGTGGGTTACAGGGTGAATGCACTTGTCAAAACTCAATGAATTGTACATTTAAGATGGTTGCATTTCACTCTATGCAAATTTCACCTCAAAACTATAGATAAAAATAATTCTGAATTACACTTAGGCTCACTCAATACATCTCTTCACATAAATGAGGGCAGGAATAGTTGATCATTACCAAGTTTGGATATATTTGATATATACTCATTATGAGAGTTCACATTTTGATGTCTTCTAGAATCACTTTCATGGACTTTGGACTGGGAGCAGATCCACATAGGACTTGAAAATGTCTAGCTAAGTGAAGCTCTTTGGTAGCAAACTGCTAGGGTAGAGAGCTTGAGTCTGATGTGGCTACTAGCTCTTTATGTAAGATTGAGACAATGTCAATTATCCATGTTACATAGTACAGATGGGAAAGCAGAGATGGGGGACATTGAATAAAATTTTCACATGCAGTTTGGTTTCAATGTTACCAAAAGAATTTCCTAGCTTTCTATAATATTCTCTTACTATTATGATGAAATCTTAAATCTCACAATTGGAAATTCTTTTATTTATTTCTTTTAAAATATAGTACATAAGCTTTTGTCTTCTTTTATATTGCCTGATAAATGAGTTTATCAGAAAATTCTCTGGGATCAACGTTTTTTTTTAATTGAAGTATAGTCAGTTACAATGTGTCAGTTTCTGGTGTGCAGCACAATGTCCCAGTCATGCATATACATACATATATTCATTTTCATACTCTTTTTCATTAAAGGTTATTATAAGATATAGAATACAGTTCCCTGTGCTATACAGAAGAGATTTTTTTAAAATATATTTTTATATATAGTCTAGCTAGCATTTGCAAATCTCAAAGGATAAATTTGGAATCAAGTTTTGATTAGGGAAGGGAACACGATGAAGGACTCAGGGAGGGCCACATGTCTTACAAGAAATTATGGATTGAATTAATCTTATTTGTTTTAAATTTGAATAGTTTTTGTTGTTAATGATAGGACTATTCTGTCCACAAATTCAAATAGTTGATTTTATAAAGTAAATGGTAAACTGGAGATACATCTGGAAAAGTTATCACACAGAATTATCTTGATGTTTCAAGGGAAAAAAAGTGGTTGATTGGAACTTCATCTATGTTTTTGAACCAAACAATGCTGAAATAAACATACTGTGAATAGAAAACTGTATCTGGTTCTTTCATATTCCAAATGTAATTGTAATCTGATAAAGATCATTCCATTTTTCTGTATTTGTTTAGAAGGTATTACACTAAAAGGCAGGATTTGGATTGTAGAATGTAGCCAGTGAGAACATATGTAAATTTAAAAAGAAATTAGCTTTTCTATATGAAATAAAATCAATGATCAAATAAATTCAACATGATTATGGTGACTAAAGCAAAAATACAAAGTACAATATGATAATTTTCAGGTTTCTGTTTGGCATATATGTTAATAAATTTTCAAACATGAAGCAATTTAATACCGATTGCTACTAAAAGCCAACTAGCACAATAAGACTCCGAAAGCTTAGTTCATTATTAATGTCATAAAACTCCAATTCCCATATGAATTCTGAAACCAAACATACTCTTTGCGTTTCACAAGATGGTCCAAACATTGTCTGTTTCAGGATTCCCTAGAATTCATGAGTATTTCAAAGTTATCTCATACTGAATCCCACAATTCCTTATTAAATTCTGCACATCTTCTGAACAGGCATTCTTCTCAATTTTAAAAAGAACAGAAGGCCTTCATTCATGTCAGTTTTTAGTTTTATCCAATCATTAGTTTTTTGCAGAATTTTTTGTTGTTGTTGACAATAGTTTTGCAAGTTTTTTTCTTCATTTCTTTCTTTGTACTTCAACCCTTTTAACTGCAGCTTATCCAGCTTCTCATTTCAACTTTCATCTAGAGGTATGTTTTCACACATTACAGGATTGAATCTAAAATAGGTATCAGGAAGTAACCAATCATCAATTATCACCTGGGTTCTTCTGCATCTGTAGCACTGTTGGTAACATTAGACAGTTTGGTTCTCAAGCTCAGCTCATGTTTATCATGGTGTTTCTCACATCACTCTCATCATGTCTAACGCCCAGGGATACTAGGCAATCTAATGGGATGTCTGGTCAAAGACACTTAGACTCATGCATTGCGTGTGCTGAGGGGTTTTTCAGAAGCAAACCTCGGTCTTACTGAATATCATTTCCCATATGTTACTCCAGGCTACTTTGTACACTTTGCACAGTAGCCTGGAGAAGCAGATGTGGCTCTAATGGCCTGGCCCAGTTTCTATTCAACCAGTAATAGTTAATTCCAGGAAAATGACCATAGTTTCTGAACACAAATCTGTTGGCATCATCCTTCTATCTACCATGGTACTTACTGCAGCTACCTTAAGACTTGTGGGATTTCTTGCTGTTTCTATAATTAGTGTGCAGCTCATTCTATCCCTAAGAATATTTCCCCAAGTCTGACCATCCTAAAATGCATGGCTCCAACTCATTTTGATGAGTTCTGACAATGACATTTTGTGAAAACAGATATCATCCTAATTTTTAATAAAATTCCTCACATTCATCCAAGGGCGCAGGAAAAAAATCCCAAAGTGAAAGCTAATATGACACCTGGACTTACACCGCAAATACAGTCAAAGAGCTGAGGAACTGGCTTCTGAGCGAGTTCAACTAATTTCCACCGAAGAGCAACCATTGTTCTTCCATCATCAATTGTACAAATGGGATTCCTCTTCCTCTTGCTGGATTCATGCAGCCAAATTAAGGCAACATTTCTCTTGCTGTAGCCTGAAGAGTGCCAGCCTTAATTTGTCTCAGTCATAAAAATATGCAATGTCTTATCTTGGCAGCCACTCCTTTTCCCTCAGGAAATTTCTGGAGATGAAAAGTCATTTCTTCAATCCTATTAATGCAGAGCTTTGGGTCAGTTATTCTTAATGCTTGAACTAATGCCCGGGTTCTGTCATCAATACTCACCTTGGCAATCCTTCCTTGTTGAAGAGATAAATGCTTTCTTCCTTCCTTGCATTTTTGTCTTTGCTAATAACCTGCTCAGCTTTAACTGCCTCTTCCTGTTCTTTTTGACTGAATCATATTTTACTTTGGGAACAAGTCCACCAACAGAATTGCCTACTAAAGCCCGTACACCTTCAGTGGGATGAGAAAGAAAGTTAGCAGTACGACGTTTAAAAGAAACTAGAAGGACCTTAGGTGACACACTGGGGACTTGCAGGCTTGTCCACAGAATAAAAAGAAGATTCCGAGCCTCGCTTCTTGGTCAGGACACCAGTGTCTGGAGAACTGCATTTTCCCTTCTTCAATATTTCTATTTTCAATTTCTGATTTATCCTGGAAATGTTTAGTTTCCCTCTTTTGAGACAGTTTTTTTCCCCTCACATTTGAAGTATGAATGAATATAATTTGATAAAAAGTAGAATGACTCTCCAAATTTTGTGGTTAAACCATTTATGTTATGAAAAGGTCTTGTTTACTATTTCTTCATTTTGTCTTGATCTTTACCATGACTTCTCTTCTCTGCTGATGTAACGCTATATTTTTTCAGAGATTTGATGGTTCGTTTAATGTTCTTCTGGTTTAACCAGCCACTATCTGATACTTTTCTTAATATTTGAGGAGTTGGCTTAAATGGAGCTAAACATGAAATCATTTCCTTCTAATTGGCAAAAATAGTCTGTGAAACAAAGTTCAAGGATGACATATGAATGTCTACTTTTCTAAGGCCCTTAAGAGCAGAAGTTTGAAATTCCAATACGTAAACCATGATTGCTTGGAAAGCAACAGTGCTGCTTCAAGCATGTGCTTCACTTTTGGTCTGTTTACATTTTGCTTTGCTTATAGGAAACCCTCTCTCTAGACGGATGTGGCTTATCCTCCAATAACGTTTGGGTGAGCGCAGGAAACGCAACTGCTTGCTTCTCCGCTTTCCCCAGAGACCCTTTGCATTACAGGATGCAGACTGAAACTGCTTCTGTAGCAGTGGCAACTTGCCTCTCCCTGGCATTGACTTTGGACTGGAACTGGCCTGCATCAGCTGAGTTTTCAACACAAACAGAAGAGCAGCAGTCTGGGCACCACCCCCTTAGTTCTCTTCTGCCACCAGTGGAAGTTGAATTAAGCTTACTTACTTCTCAATGTTTCCAAGGGTATACTCCAACAACAGGAAATTAGATCTTGGAAATGCTAGAGGACAGGTTTTTCCATACTGTAGTAAGGGGAAACCGAGACATCATCTCCTAATATGTTAATTTTTCTTTAGTATCTATTTTGCTAGTGCTACCAGTATCTTGAGTAGTTAATCAAGTTGGGAGCTAGCCTTTGAATTCCTTCTTGCTCCTTATCATACATTTTAGATCAATAACTACATACCACATTTGTTTCCTAGATAGTTCTTTATTTGTTCTCTTCTTCACTTCTTTGATTTGTATCTGATACAGCTTGTATTCTTTTGCCTGAATTATGACAGTGCTTTCTTGAACGGTTTTCCCATCTCTAGTCATTTCCCCTTTAATTCCATACCCTTATAAGTTATCAGGTTATCTGAAATATAAATCTGATCATATCTATACACTTTTTAAAGCCCCCACCTCCCACCTCTCAGCCCTGCATAGCCTAAGTTGTGAACACAAATGATGGTGGGGGAGGGTATGGTTCAGTGGCAGATGTGTGCTTAGCATGCATGAGGTCCTGGGTTCAATCCTCAGTACCTCCATTAAAAATAATCCTTACCCCTAATCATTGAGATTACCTAACTGGACCTGAAAAAAATCTGGAATCAGGACCTTTGCCTTGAAGGTAGAGTCCCAGCCGCCTTTTTTTTTTCCCCAGCCTTCTAAACAGGCTTGAAGGCTCCCCTCTATTTGACCCTTATTTACCTTTCCTGCCTCATATCTCATACGTTAGTGATTCAAAGAACCAGATTGTGTTGGATTTTGCCTCAGCATGTCTTTATTCATTGACTTAGTACAAGACTCCTCTAGGCAGAGGCTAAAAGTGGTACTTTCTAATATATCTAACATTACAACTCTCTGTTTACCTTCAGTCTCCCCCATTACTACAAATTCTTTGAAGGTAGGGACTGCATAATATTAATATTGGAACCCCAAGTCCCCAGAACATTGTCTTCAGTATTAAAAGTCAATTAATGCTTTTTGATACTAAACTAAGGAAGACTCCTTACAGAAGGTGTCCAAGGAATGTTGTTAAGGTATCCAGATAATTGCTGGAAACAGGGACATGGAATTTTTTCACTGTCTTTTTCCTGAAACGAGATGGGCAAAAAGGGACCCCATGAACCTAAATTTAAGTGACTCCAATAAGAAAAAGCACCGCACCCACCTGAGGCTCAAATCGAGGTGCTTGTTTTTCTTTGGCTGCCTTTTCTTTCTCCAAAGACTTTTCTTTGCCTTTCCTTGTTATTCTGGAAGTTCCTGAAGATTTCTGTCCCTCACTAATAGTGTGGGAATCTGGGCTTCCCAAGGTAATTAATTCCTCATGTTTCTCTCCATGAGCTAGAAAAACATAAAAAAAGGGAACCAGTGAGTCATGATACAACATTAAAATCACGTCATATAAGAAAAAGAGAAGAGAGTGAAAGAAAAATGTTAGTCTAATGCATTTGATTTTCTTTTTTTAAACAAGCAAACAAACAGACCTTTAATAAAGATCTGTGTGACTCTCTTTTATACAATTGAGAAATAATTCATGTACCATCAGTATAAGTCAGTGGGTTTTGGTATATTCGTGAAGTTATGTAATGATCACTACTATTTAATTTGTTTCCGGTCTGGATGCATTCAGTTCATTTTCTTGCCTAATTACCTTGGCTGTTACCTCCAGTATGATATTGAATTGATTCATCTCTGCTTTAACATTTGTTACTCTCTTCTTTCTGCCTACTTTAGGCTTGGTTTGTTTTTTCTTTTCTAGTTTTCTAGATTTTTAAGGTGGAAGGTTAAGTTATTGATTTGAGATCTTTGTTCATTTTAAATGTAAGCATTTATAGCTATAAATTTCCCTCTTAGCACTGCTTTCATTGCATCTCGTAAGTCTTGGTATGTTGTTAATTGTTTTCCATTCATCTCCATGTATTTCTTAATTTCTTTTATGGTGCACTTTATTTCTTCATGTGGATATAAATTACTGCCTAGTGTCATTTTATTTCAGCATGAGTGACTTCCTTCAGTATCTCTCATAGGGCAGGTTTGTTGGTGACAAATTTTTT